GCTTCAGATCTGAAACCAGAAGCTTTGGAACAGGCACATAATGGTTGGAGCCTCCTTAAATAAGGTGCATCTTTTCCTGGGCTCACAGGTAGTTGTACAACCCCAAGAAACTATGTATTTGACTTAAGGAGACACTAGAACAGTGTTCCTCAACTTTAGCACTTTAAAGAAATGTGGATTCCAACCCCCAAAATCCCCTGCCCCGCCATGCTGGCTGGGGAATTCTGGGAGTTGAAGTCCACATATCTTAAAGTTGCTAAGGTTGAGAAACACTGTTCTAGTGTCTCCTTAAGTCAAATACATAGTTTCTTGGGGTTGTACAACTACCTGTGAGCCCAGGAAAAGATGCACCTTATTTAAGGAGGCTCCAACCATTATGTGCCTGTTCCAAAGCTTCTGGTTTCAGATCTGAAGCAATGCACATCCCTAGAACTCTTAGAAATGTGCACTAAATTGCAACCAAGAGGTCTTCAGTAAATCAGTATCTCTGAGTTCACTTTTTTTTTTTCCCAGGCCAAAGGCAGCACTAACCTTTGAAATTCCAAAAAGTAGGTGGATTTGGACAATAAAGAGGATATTATCTACATAACACATTTTAGAAAGATAAGAAAGCAGTTTCAGTTGTTGCTAGGCAGATGCAGCACTCCCCACTAATGATACGAGTACTAGTCATTTTTAGCAGCCAGTGGCCCATATGCTACAAGTCAACCAAAGCAATTTTACCCCAAGCATGTTCATGCTATCTTTCAAGGTAGGATCTCTAATCTGTTTCCTGTTGCCTGCATTCCTCTAATACATTACATGCAGTGTAGTTTTTATTATTTCTTACTGGCTTTCTGTGCTTTGCATATTTACTGCCAAAGGGGATAAACCAGTGGGTATGTATATATGCACCTCCATTACCTAGATCTTGTAATTTAAATGCAGTGATATGATTATTCCTCACGTGTCATAGTTAAAAAAAATGCAACTTTACGGCAATTTATGGAGGGCTCTAAAGGTCACATCAAAAGCTCTTGGTTTATGCATGTTGTGCTTCTGTCCCACGTAAGGATGATATTATAACCCACTGTGGTATTGTCAACAAAGCTATATCCACTTGCAGAACTAGCAGGAGATTTTACTTACCGTGCCACACAGTACCATACATGTCCCAAAGATGAGCCACAGCCCTCCGTCCATTGTCCCATGATTTACTGAGATAATCTTCCTTTAAGTTAACCTTTCTCTTGTAAATATGCAGGAGAAGATTAGAAAGATAAATAAAGCCAAGAATCATTAAAACAGGGGAAAAGAGAAGTACGAATGGTACTAACACCCAGAAAAGGTATGCTGAGTAGTCTGTGAAACTGTTTAGATAATTATTGGGAGACATCCATTTGTTCAGTAGTTCCATTACCCAGGTCAGATCTTCTTCCCCAACAGAAAATGAATTCATGTTAGTTATCTTCTGCTTAAAACTAAAAAAGCAATGTGATGGAAAACAGCTTCTTAATGTTGGCCCTGGATGCAGAAAATGAACTTCGTTAAATACGTTGTCATTATTGCAATAGGCATCAACCTATTTCAATATCCTACAGATTGTCCACTTTCAACAATTTAGTCAAGGAAGACCACTAATAGCATATCCCAGGTATATTTACTCAGAAGCAAGAAATGCTGTATGCCTTTCAGATGTATTGGATATGAACTCCCGTAATCCCCAACCAGGATGACCTTTAATTCTGATTTAAAATATTTCTAGGCCGATGCTCTTTCAAGGCAACTTATACAGGTAAAATCATGTGCATGGAAAGCACAATAAAACATAAATAAAACCTGCAAGAATCAACCAATTCCCACCGACTGAAATAAGACACAGAGTTTCTGCCAGTAACTGGAAACAAAGCAACGAAAGAATTGAGAAAATAAAGAGGAGGAGGAGGGGGCTTTCTTAAAAACTGCAATGTTGGAGTCTTGCAGCCCTTTCCGTAGCTGTAGGGGCACGGGAGGAAAAAGCCCTTTTCCCCGGTGAAACTAATGCAACAGCCCTCAACGAGGGCAAGCGCGGGCGGGGCGCCTTCACGCGGCGTTTGCACCTATCAAGCGCTTCTTCTCCGCTCCGAGGGCGAGGGGTCATTTCCACCGGGTCTAACGGCGTAGCTTCGGCTCTTCATCCCTCCGCTCTGCCCGCTACCAACGGAGCTCCTGCCTGGCTGCTAAAGATGCCGGCCAAGCTCCCTTTGTGAACCGCGCCCTCGCTCGGGGTCACCTGAATCGCGGCGCCGCATCAAAGGACTGCTGCCACAGCATCAGGGGGCTCCTGGCACCATCCCGCGAGCGAACGAATCTGGGTGGCAGGGATGTCCGGGCCCGGCCCGGCCCGGCCCGGCCCTTAAAGGCGTCCAATGGAAGAGCAAACGAGGAAATTGCGGAGAAGTATGCAACACCGAGAAGCCGCAATGCAGTAAGACGTTGCGCATCGTGTAGATGCAAAAGGAGGAGGAGACCTTCGGCACCGTCTTTTCCTTCAAAAATAGGAAGCGCGGCCGAGCGTGCGGAGAACGCCTTGGCTTTTTTTTTTTTTAATTTTAATTTTCCTTTTTCTGGGCTGCAGGCAGAGGGTTGAAATAAAATACATGCCTTGGAATTTAGAAATATGATGTTTCATGGCAGAGGAATCCTCATTCTATTTTTCTTTTGTTTTTTTAATACAAAAAATATTATCATTAGAGACATGGAGCTTTTCAGTGGAAAAGCAGTGAATAATAAAACTCCTACCTGCAGCCTGATGTGGTACGGTCCATCTGACGTCTGACCACCTCCCATGGAAAACTCTTGGTGTGGTCAAAGAACTTAAATAGTCTTAATGTGGAACTGACTTGCCAAGGCTGAGAAACACTGTTATAAGATGTTCCAACCCAAAAATGGGCTGTTTCAAGTTAACTGTGAATGGTTGGAATATTCCATGATAGGATGTATTACATCTGTATATTTGCACATTTATATTTTTTGGCATGCACTTAAAAATAGCTTGGGTTGTGCAACTAAATACTGTATATATTTTATACAAGAATTGTCACAGAAATAACCACGCAGCATGCTTACTTAACCCCTCTTTAAACATCTCTCTTATATTTATGTAGTTGAAAAACAGACTTATTAGTTCCTGTGTTCAATGGGTAGTGAAAGGTATATTAAAAAGAGGTGGTAGTATAATGGATTTTACTGTGCTGTATTACAGGTAGAGTTACCCTTCTCTCTCTCTTTCTCTGTCTCTCTATCGAAACAGATAAATACTTAGGGGAGTTATGTACATATACAATAAAACTGTGTCTTAAATGTTGCAGAACACTTTCAAATTATTAGAGCCCAAAGCAACTTTTATTAATTTCTTGGAGAATATATTTCACAAGTAAAAGAATTAGAATTACTTCTTTCAAATATTTATATACTGTGTATCATGGAATGCATTCCCAGCCATGTTCAAAATATAAAATGCATTGAATAAAAAATACCCCCAGATAAAAACACATCAAATACATAAACAAACAAAGCTATAACACAATAGTCCTGGTAATTTCTAACCGGTGGCTCAGTTAGTTCTGAAATCTGAATTAGTCCATGAATTTGGGTTTTGTCTCAGCAACTCCTAGTGAACTTTGGGGATGGAGAAGAATCCTGGACAGCCAAGAAAACAAACAAATGGATCATCAAACAGTTATCACTGAAGGAACGACTGACCAGGCTTAAATTATCATATTTTAGACACATTATGAAAGGCCCAGCTCCCTTGAGAAACCCATAATGCTGGGAAAGGTGGAAGGAAAGAAAAGAGGAGGACCAGCAGCAAGGCTGACAAACTTCATTACAGCAGCAATGAAAGCACCATTGGAAGACCTGCAGGGTCAGACTGGGGAGAGATTGTCATGAGGAAAATCCATCTATGTGGTCACTAAGTGTTGATGGCACATCAACAAAGCCAAAAGAGTGGTTTCCCCCCTGCAGGAGGGACAGCAGGACACGCAACACTGTCATCATCAAGAACCTCTTAGCTGTTAGTTGGGGTGGGAGAGAATTAGGGCAAAAAGGACAACAGAGGTGGGAAACAGCAGTGGTGCAGCATCTCTGAGCAATGAACTTGGCCAGGAAGAGCATGCTTCCCAATGCAAAAGAGGGTGGCCACTTTACATGCACAACTGCTGTACAAAGTAGGTGAGCCTCAGGGGCTAATTGGCACATCCAGGTTGCCCCAACACAAGTACACGTCAGTAACCATTTTGTGAGGGCAAGAACACACAAGATCATCCTCTACACGTGCCTAGCCCTCTAAGGCGACATCTGCCTGTCTTTTCCTGCTTCACGTCAAAAGAAGTGTTTTCCAACCTGTGTGGATACAAGCAGTGCTGTCCAGTGCACTATGTTATAAGCAAATGCCTCCATGCAAGTTGGCTCCTGCCAGCACTAGCAGAACCTCCCCGTCCAGTTCCTCATTATTGTCCTTAATGGCCATTTTGTCCTGGGCTGCTGGGCCACCTGCCACTTCTGATGGGACCTTAATTAATGAACCTGTTTCTTTTTTCAGTGTGTGCTTGAGTACATGCCCCTTTTCCAAGCTCCCCACTTCCTTTTTCCCTGCTTTCTTTGCCCTTTCCCATCCCACCCTGCCTGATTTAACTAAGTGAAGGAGTTGCACTTCCCCATCAGGAAGGAAGGTTGACAGGAAGGAGAAAAAAGCCAAAAAGCCAGGCCTAATCCGTGGTTTGTAGTTCTTTGGGTAGAAAAGGAGCCCAGATGCTAGAGCGGTGTTTCTCACCTTGGCGACTTTAAGAAGCATGGACTTCAACTCCCAGACTCCTCCAGCCAGCATGGCTGGCTGGAGAATTCTGGG